CCCCCCGACGATCTCTAGCTTGGACTCAAATATACCATTTGGTCAAGAGCTATATAGGGCAGCAGGCAGGCTGGCTGGGTGCTACGGTGCCTGCACCGCCATGATCACGCTAATATATGTCATGAAGCAATCCTTCCCGCGGCCCCCCTCCCCGTTGTTTACCGGTACGTATATTATGATGATGTCTTTTTGGAGCTGCACCGCTCGCATGCGCCTTCTATATATGCATACGCATGCCCAATGGCGTTCACAAGCTAAGCTGCATGCATGCATGCATGCATGCGCATACGCGCTCCAACAATTGTGAATATCTCCGCTGCTGCAGCGGCCAACGCCGTGTGAATGGATGGATGGATCGCGATCAGAAGCGCGACAAATAAGCATCACCTTGCCATGTACCTGTACACCTATACGCGTGGGCGGCGTGATACACGGGTATGCTGCTGAAAGCGCAACTTGAAGCGCTCGAACGAGATGTCTCGGCTGATCCTTGATTTGGTTCGAGGATCAATTCCGCAGCATGACGAAGCAGCAGTCACGAGAGTGTACAGCGGCTTCAAGGGGAAGGTGCATGCATCATCGCAGCTCAAAGTCACTCACTTATAGTCGTGCAGGTGAGTGTGGCAGCGCTCTCTTCACACTCGCCCGTGCGCGTGCGCGTGGCTGCGCCCATTATGAAGTCACTTTCGATTCAATAATTGGCTCAACCGACTCGCAACTGCTGCTCGCCATGCGCACTTTTCTTTTTGAGCACTTTGACTTGATCACAATCTTGAATTAAATTGTATTCTGCGGGCGCGCGCAAGCAGCAGCGGCAGCAGTATCCGCAGGCTTTCCCATCAAAGCGCCCCCGCCGCCGCAACGTCGCGCGTGCTTCATCCTTCTTGTCGCTCCGAGCGGTCGCGGTCGCGGTCACGAGTCTCTTTGACTTTGTTCGCACGATCCACCTTCCACTCATCATCCATTGCGAACTTGCAAGATAGCAAGATTTGCCGTCGCATCTACTCACACGCCTCAAACATGTCCAGCCCATCCGCGTCGATGGGGCGCACAGAGGGCTACGCAGCACCCACCCACGAAGTCATGTCGTTGGCCGATGCCTGCCAGCGGCGGTCCGAAGAGGTGCGAATCGAGTCGCCCTTGGAGCAGCAGCAGCAGCAGCAACGCAAAGAGGAATACGAGGCAGATGCGCGAAACACACGGTCAGAAATCGTTCAGGCAAGCAGCGAGCCAGCAGAGAGCGCGTCGGCACCTGCTCCGACCAAAGTGTGCAAGCGAAAGCAGCGCCACCATCAGCATCAGCATGGGCACGGGTCCAGCGAGGCGAGTGCGAGGCATGCGCGCCATCCTCGTTCGCATTCCAATCGCCCAGCAGCGCTTCATCAGCCTCTGCACGATGCGCCCAGTCGAGGTCCTTATTCTCCTCTGCCCACGCACGATCAGTCGCCTTACGAGACGGCGGCGGCGAGCGCGTACATTGCGAGCGGACATCATCTCCACAAGCATTCCTATGCGCATGCACGCTCCGAGTCGGCGGGCCAGGAAAAGCATGCCAACGAACCCAGCAGCAGCAGCAGCAGCAAAAGACCGCTTTCGAGCGGCTCATCGTACGGACGCATCCAACGCGCTGCGGTCAAGGGACAGCAGGTGGACAGGTGGCTCTTTGTGCTGCTCCACGCTCTTCTCATCCTCCTCTTCATCGTCTTGTTGGCAGTGTGGGGAGCGGGAAGGGATTCGGCAGGTTTCGAGTCGCGCCTCAACAGCGCCCAAGTCCCGAGCGCTCAAGCGGGCATCACCTTGCTCGGAAATTGCGGTGGTGAGTTTGCCCCGTTGGGCGAAGAGGGGGGGGG